AAAAATAAACGTTATTTCGAGGAAGACTGTTAAATAAAGCAATGGCATAGCCCAATGGTAGAGACTTTTTTGTCCTGAGGAACTTTTATTTCTTTCAAACTTTGTTTGCGCGGCGAGCTATACTGTCATACAAGGTCAACATTATTGCCTGTTTCACTCGAACAGTCTTTCATAAACTCCGCGCGCACGGTGTTGAGTCATTCCGTACGAAAACTTTACAATACTTCCGAGAAGCTAACCATCCACTTCGTTATTGTCAAAAGCCATTTCATAAGCTAAACACATTAAGATTTACGTATGCTTTGTATCATTTTTTTGGTCTCATGGACCATGGTGCCAGAATATAGTCAACAGTAAAATCGTTAATTTTCCATAATAAAATAAGCCTGGGAGAGAATCCGGGTCAATATTTTTCTTGTTTACGGCTTTGCAAAGCGGCAAGGTATTTTTGAGCTCGAATTTAAACCATGAACTAAAGCTTTGTTGCTATCTTTCGTTCTTCAAGGCCGAGGGCCACTCAAAAATTAGCGATAGCCCGAGATGACATAAAATCCTCAGTTTGATCACTTTTATGGTCTATTCAATATGTATACAGGGACACCCAACGAGAATATAGTTCAAAACCACTTGAACATATAGCATTGTTAAACGTATTTTAGTAGTTAAACGGTAGATATAAGCATATTTTTATCCCCTAAAAAATGTTTTATCTGTTGGGATTTCCCAGCTGAAAGTCTAGTGATCCGAAAATAATATAGGGATCAAAACTTACCTTTTTGAAACTGATTTCAGCCAGTAAAAAGACTCCCGAAAATTCGAGGTGACATTTTTAGGGTAAAAATCCGTTAAAAATGGGCAATCATACCATTTTTTAGATGTTCGAGAATCCTAGGAGAGGCAGGCAAGCAAGAAATTTTACAACAAATGTTCTGAAAATTCTATATTTCAAATCGTCTTCCGAACAGAATATTTTCCGAATATTGACGTTGGGTGCCCCTGATGTATAGCTTATTTGCCATTAATTGTTCTACAAAATTTACCTTTTCTTCAAATTTCTACTACTGGGGAGATGCTTAACTCGCCAATGTTTCAAAAAAAGGCTGGCAAATCTTTTAGTTTACTGACGCCGTGTTAATTTCGAGCACCGGTGTGAATTTTGAATAATATAGATGGTTTTCACAGTGACGTCATCAAATGGTAAAGTTAAAATAGCGAGATTTTATGAATTCTTATTTACACTGAGTTGAAGATAAACAAGAAACACATTTTTATTACAAGTTTCCAGTCCCGTAGCATGTTTCATTTCGAAAATAAAGCAATTTGTACTTCCGAGTTTTCACAGTGCGTGACACCAAAATAGGAATGCTGTCTTGTTGAAAAAAAGTCTCTCCTCTTGCTTTTCAGCAGCATAACCATTTCAAGTATTAGAAGATATGTTTATGTACTCGTATGCTAGTGTTCGGGTAAAAAGAAAGAGCTTTTATAGAACAAGTGAACTCCAGATGTTTTTGATGATTACCGGCGGCCATAATTGGTGCACCATTATGGCGTCTCCATTCAAAGCTCTACAAAGGTGCGTGAAACGTTTCGGGAAATAACTCAGAAATTGTGGTCCACAAAGACCCGAGACTTGGACAAATTGTTTATATATTAGTCTTTTATAACATTTCTTGGCTTTTTCCACTGGACGGTTTCCAACAATTTATTTTTTTTTGTTGCGTGACAGTGAAAACAGTCTATATATCTATCGATGAATAAAAACTTGACGATTGGCATTTTAACATTTAATAGTTTTCACTAGTTTCTGACAATAAAGCGTTTAACGCTTCACGCATTTTTTAAAATTGATTTGTACTTTATTCACCAGAAATAATGATCGACTAAGTGTCCTGACGTCGTCAACCTGACTTGCAGCTATCATAATAAGACTGTTTTAAAACATTGTGCGCTATTACCTAAAAGAAAATACAACGGGTTTTTTTTTTGTTATTTTTTATTATAGCACATAACCTAAGATTGTACTTACAGTGTGAATGAACAGTTTCCGATCTCCAATACGCCACAATTCAATACTTCATCGAGATTCGTAAACATTTCGGCCGAAACTCGGCTGATTTGGTCGCTTGCCTCGGAAAAAAATCGTTCCAGGTGCCAGGATACGTCCAATACTGGATCAGATAGATTGTGACCAATGTATTTTTTTTCTTTTCCTTTCTTAGTTTGTTGTACGCCGCTTTTGCAATACTGTAAAGTTTACGGTCATGCAAATAAAGCTTATTGTTGTTGTTGTTAGAGTGGTGATAAACAAAGGCTTGTGGCGCTTACTGATGGGGAAGGCGAGACGAGAGGAACTCCACAATCAAACAGTTGATTGAACTTATAAGGTTTATTTTACTTACCCGTAAATTTTTGCTTTACAGTTAAACTTCTACAATCTTCGATTCTTCTCTTCCATTTCACTTATGTTTAAGGTTTAGCTTTCGCTGTTGCTGGAGTTCACTTTCTCATTAGTGACTAAGATGGGGTCTATATGGCCTCGACGGAGATGTGCCGCGCTGGACAGGGTATGGTTTTCGTCCTCTCTGTCCTAAACAAGGTATATGATTTCGCACGAGTCTGTCGTAAACAGGGTATACAATTTCGCGCAATACTGTCCTATACTGTCTGCATAATTTGTGCGAGTCTGTTCTAATAATACGATTGAGGGAGTTGTCCTAAACAGGGTATGTATTTTAGGAATTTTTTTGTCCTAAAAAACATTAGGGTGGCCAATTATAGACCCCACGGGAGTCTATAACTAGCCACAGAATAGACTACAATGGGATAGGGGCTCTGAGGGGCCAGCGGTACATACATAGCAAGAATTAACCCAAGTATCCCCCCGGGGGGGGGGGGACGTTGCAGCTTCGCTCTCCGTTACAGACATAACCGAAATAACCGCTCTCATATTTGAACAGGAGCACTCTCTGGTGTCGTTAAAAATTGGGCTGACACGGAAATTCCTGTCAGCCCAATTTTATTCCACCAGTTATCTGCAATTGAAGAGCCCGAAGGAGGACAACGGCTGACTTGCAGTGCTGCTTGTGCTGCCCTTTGGTTTTTTGTGCCATATTTGCAGTGTTACCTTTTTTCTATTTTTGCACTGTCTGCGGCCCTGTGCTGCACCCTTGCCAGTTAACTACACGATTCTGGATATTTCTGAAACCTCCTTTTTTGTTACACCAATCGGTTTTCTACACGAAACCGGTGAATCCGCTTACGGAGACTGCACTTAAAACTGCTTTCCAGACCGGAGTGGGGGGTACTCCCTATGATAGCTTATACGGGGAGGCTCCGCCCGAAAGGGGTATCTTTTTCAGGCTTCAGGTATATGAAAGGGTAGGAAATTCACTTGTTGAGGTATATAAAAGGGTAGGGAAATCTGTCGTCTGGGTCTGTAAAAGGGCCCAAGGGCTAACAGAGAATAATAATAATAATAATAATAATAATAATAATAATAATAATAATAATAATAATAATAATAGTAATAATATTTATAGAGGGAGCCCAACTCGCCAAGGCGGTTTTCAGTGGGGCCCTCATAGAAACAGATGAAACAGATGAATTTTAAGGCTTTACTAAGTCGAGAAAACGTTCTATTTTTGAGATTGATTCCTATTTAAAAAGACACCGAGCAATACAAAAAAATGGAAACCTTTCTTCTCCTCGCTGGGTCTTGTCTCCTAACTCCAAAAACATAAATTAGTAATATCTGCACCTACCATGAATATTTAAATTACTTTCACCAGAAAGAAAGCAAAAAATATATATATATGTATATAAATTAATTACAGGTCATACTAAGTACAGTAATATATGGAATTAGCACTGCTGTATCTAGTTTAATATTTGTAAGTATTGCCGTGTAAGTGTGTAAATTCGCTATTTTTTTTCTTTTTATTTCTTTATTCATTCTGTGTAATTTTTTTTTCTTTTCTGTGTGTGTTTCACTTGCAATAATAAAAAAATATATTTAAAAAGACAGTGCATTTACAGACATATTAAATTCTGCAAGCAGAATTTCGAATACTGCAATGCTGATCGTATTACGTGAAAGTTAACTCTGCAAGACATCAACACGACACCGAAAGAACTCAAAACAGAGCGGGATTGTAGCCCCTCGGGGGTCTCGCCAGTATAAAAAAATAGTCTTTATAGATCCTACGTTCTTCGGCATATTCGTTTGCGGTCCTTTGCAGTCCTTTTGTGGTTAATGTTTGTACTTTAGTGCATTTACAGCAGTTAAAAGGGATGCAAAGTTCTAAACAAAGTATGTGAAAGGAGCACTATTTGTCAATAGAAGGTATAGAAAAGGGGTTGAAAAATGGTATATAAAATGTTAAGGGGTTATGGGCCTCAAGGCGAAGCCTCTCCGCATAAACATCTGTTGAGTATCACCCCCCGGTTACCAGGCTGGTCAAAGGGCCTGCTGATAGGGATCCTAAAACGTCCGGGTTCGTGTGGACGGGGCGTAATGAAGTATTTTAAAAATTCTTAAGCTGGGATCTCTCTTTTTTCTCTTTTTCCCTCTCGAAAGACCCTCTTGAAATGTCACACAACGTGAATAAATAAAAACGTGACAAAAATCCTGTTTAATAATCACAGAAAGATTCCACGCTTTGTTGCTCAAAACAGGTGGATAACGGCACCACCGCCAGTATTGCCATTTTTTTTCCCGGCAAGCTTTCTCTTAAGCAGATCATTTAACGACATTAGTAAAAATTAAAGATTTTTCTTAATTGATTAAGAAAGAAATTTAAAATCACAACACTGTCGTGTCAGTGTTTTGCACTTGAACGGCGAAATAGCTTTTAAAAGACGAGTTAATCAGAACAATTCACTGCAGGTTACTCTCAGAAGACCAGTCAAGCGTTTTATTCCATAAACAAACTAACTGATTTTCATCTAATGAAGAACAGTTGTAAATATTTGAGATGATAAATTTTTTTTGTCTTTTTCTGGACGGCGTTCCTCATACGGTCGGTCTCATACGTTACTTCACGAGTGTGTATCGATTATCAACGATTGTCCCCTATAAACGTCTGGAAAGTTCGTCTGGAATAATTTTCCGGGGGCTTTGTTCCGCGCTTGTTTGGCAGTGAGCCTCTTTCCTCGCATGACCAAGCAGAACGAGTGTTGGTTCAGAATTCACTGATTTCGTTTAATACTGGTTAAACGCGATAAACCATGAAGTTTTGGCGTGCAGTCTGCATTTGGATTTCTTGTGTTGTGATGCAAAATGTATCCACTGGTGCCTCGACGATAAGGAAATACTACATTGCCGCTGTAGAGAAAGAATGGGACTACGCTCCGAGTGGCTATAACAAGGTGAAAGGCGTCAAGCTTGCCGGCGACGGGTAAGATAAATAGAAAAGAGGCCATTATGACACGATTATGAGCCGATTCCTCCGCGGGAAGGTACAGCGGGAAGAGTCTCTAGACAACCAAAATGAAGCCATGCGTTATGCAATACTTTGATTTGTAGTACGTGATGGTTGAAGATACAGTGACATTTGTTATATAGAGGAAATTTCAAGGCACTTAGTTCTAAGTTACCAAATTCAGTCCGAGAATTAATGTAAGTGGGGATACAATCTTATCATTTGGAAAATAGCCATCGTCCATCTTTGCTTTCGATTTGCGTGATTTAATTTTGCTTCGCCGGTTTGCTTTTAACTCTTTTGACTACCGTGAATTGATTTGCTCCAGTCACAACGATGGAACTTTTGAATTATGCTATGTTTTCACTGATCTAAAAATGACAAAAAAGACAAAAAATCAGTGGTTACTATTGTAGAATGCTGCTCGCAGGCTGCGTTTCTCTCGGGATTCCTTCATTTCCGTGATATGCAAGCCGAATAACAGCTGGGATTTCCGGGAGTCTTCTGAGGTCACGGTCGTGTTGTGAACTAGTGTCAGATGTTTGTGTTCGAGAGTTTTTGTTTCTGTTTTAGAGATGCATAATAGCAACTGATAAAGACGATGAATGCTGTTTCCAGTTGCTTTCCTTTGTCTTAGACAGCTACAACTGATGTACATTCCTACATCACAGGGAACTGACTTTTTTTATCCGTATGTCACGCAAATATTGAAACAAAAATATATTTTGAAAGATCTATTTATCACCCATCATTTAGGATACCTGCAATGTTTTGTTAAATTCCTCTTAAACTCTCAGAAATATCAGATCCCAAAATTAAAAAAAAGAAGATGATAATTCTCACGCACCCCTCTCTCTTTTCTTGGAGGGAGGAAGAGAGAGGACCCTGGGAACAAGTTTGAAATGTATGTTTTGCACTCTCCCCTCTCCCCTGCTCTTATTTTTATAGGTTTGGTACGGACTTTTATAAAATTTCACAGTATGATAAATCGATCTGTGAAGAGGTAATTTATTTCACTTGAAAGCATCAAAATTGCAATTTTGTGTACCATAAGTAATTTTAAAACAATGGACCTTTATCATGCGATGGCCATTTTGTCTCGGGAGGTTTGAAAAGCTTTGTTTATGTGCGGCTAGCCTTGTTCTCTCTACGAGGCCAGCTGTACATAAACAAAGCTTTTTAAATATCCTTTTTTTTCAGAGTTTGGAATCTGATATTCTGGGAGTTTAAGAGGTTTTTTTACAAACCTTGGCAAGTTTCCTAAATGATGAGTGATAAATAGATCTTTAAAAATATATTTTTGTTTCAATATTTGCATGACATATGGATAAAAAAAGTCAGTTCTCTGTGGTGTAGGAATGTAGGTGTCTCAGACAAAGGAAAGCAACTGGAAACAGCATTCATCGTCATTATTGGTTGCTAAAACAGACACAAAAACTATCAAACACAAAAATCTGACACTAGTTCACACCACGACTGTGACCTCAGAAGATTACTGGAAATCCCAGCTGTTATTTGGCTTGCATATCACGGAAATGACCCTTTGGGAGGAGTATTGGCTGTCCTGAAGATAAAGAATGGGTACAGACAATGTTGTTTTGTTTTTTATCTTCTAAAAATTTTAAAAAGTTTAATATTCTATGAGAAGTGTTTCAATTTTGGAAGCAAGGACCAACATTACAAAATAGAAGGACTGGATCTAATCAGTTGAGAATTAAAATATCTGAACAATGGAAAGAAGCAAGGCTGATTTTACAGTCGGGAATATAATTTTTTTTGTTTTGCCAATATTTCGAAAGGCATGGCCTTTTTACTTCATGGTCTCGCATACATATGAGAAGTCTGGAACAAAAAAGTGGTTCTTAATGACCATTTGGCCCACTACTGTGTGATATCTGCATGGCATTCGATTTTTTGGGAGATTATTTCTTGACTACCTCATTAAAGGTAGAGTATAAAAATTTAAATTACCCCAACATCAGTCTGTGTGTGGTCATTCCTTTTTTTGGCACCTAAAGGAGACCATTGGTATTTCATGGATATTTCTTGGCGCACAGCTTCAAGCCATAAATGTATGGATAAAAATATTGGTTTTTCCCCCTGAATATATAAGAAATATCAAACCTGCAATTTCCCCATAACTATCATGGATTTTTTCCGGGGATTTCTCAGTTATGAATTCTGTGCTTCACGTTCGGCCATTCATTTTAAAATTCTCGTGCGTTAAATAGAGAATGACCCTTATTTTCACTCTTACTTTTATGCAGTGATGCTGCAGTCTTTACGACCCGTGGTAACCACACAATAGGACACAAGTATAAGAAGTTTCTGTTTCGTGAGTACGAGGATGCTAACTTCCAAAAGGAAAAGTCGCACCCACCCTACCTTGGGTTTCTGGGGCCTATACTCAAGGGAGAGGTGGGAGACACGATTGTGGTTCACTTCAAGAACAAGGCCAAAGGTAACTTTTCAGTACACCCACACGGTGTGTTTTACTCGAAGGACTCGGAAGGCGCCTTGTATGTGGATGAGACAAAGGGAGCGTCGAAAAAAGACGACCATGTGCCGCTGAATGGTGAACACACGTACACTTGGAGGATAACTGAGGACCACGCCCCAACAGGCGATGACGATGATTGTCTTACCTGGATTTACCATTCACACGTGTTGCCGCACAAGGACATTAACAGTGGGTTGATTGGTGAGATTAAGCTTGAGAATGTTTCTGTGTTTTCGATGTCAACGTGTTATAAAAAGTTAACTGATTCAAATATGATGATGGCCCTCGGAAACTTTTCACGCACGCCATTGTCAGTATTTTCTGTGCAGCCAACTTTTTGAAAACCGCCGGTGTGCTTTGTAATTGGCCACTAGAGTAATCAACAATCAATATCTTTATTGACTTTTTCTTCGACATGAAGATTTTAGTACCAAAACAATCTATATAATCACAATTGAAACAAAGTAAAATAAAAGTGAAGTAAGAGAGAAACGAACAGCAACAATAACATAGAACATTAACATAGAATCTTACGTTGCTATATATGTATTGCTTCTACGCTACTCGTATTTTGAATTAGGGTTCGGACTTGTAACAATTTAGAATATTTTCAATGTAAGAGGCACTAAGATTTATAATAATAGTATTATAACCTCAGTAAAGAGTCAAACCAGGTCAAGGGAACTACCATAGTTTTTATTATTGAATCGATTCAGTCATTCGAAGCTTGAGTCCAGTAGAGGTGAATACAGTTTGAGAAATAGTCCCGATTTTCGCTGAAATGTTTAAAACGTCCAGTCACGTGACTCACTTACAAAAAAGTGAGCAAGCAAGTAAGGATGGGAAACTGCTTGCCTAGTTCCACAAATATTCGAAAAGATGTTTCTTGTTGAAATGAATATCCACCTGTCCAGTGACTGAGTCAAACCAGTCCTCAGGTTCCCCGGCACTATCCATCGAATTAACAGTACTTTTCTGTTGCACAAAACTGAAAAGAAAAGAACCGCGAAACGTTACAGAGATGAAGCCGTAATTATAGTTACTTCTTGTTTGCCCTTATTTTGTGTCCACAATGTCAGGTATCTTGCTGACGTGCAAAAGTGGAGCTTTAGAAGGAGGAAAGACAAGAGGTGTTGACAAAGAGTTTTTAGCGTTGTTTTCTGTGCTGGATGAGAATGATAGTTGGCTGCTCGATGAGAACATTAAGACCTACTGCAGTGATCCACAAGGAGTAGATAAAGAAGATGAGGGTTTTATGGAGAGTAATAAGATGCACGCTATAAACGGTTATTTCTATGGAAACCTACCGGACCTGGAAATGTGCTTAGGAGATACTGTTAACTGGCATTTGGCTGGGATTGGTAATGAAGTCGATTTGCATACAGGTAAGATTCGCCACATTTAAGGGAATTCAAGACAGTCTTGGATTCTGGTTTTCACGCCGTGGATTCTGGATTTTTTGTCAGTAGAACTTGGATTCTGCATTCAATCGTTAGTGGGATCCCGGATTCTTTGAGCTGTACTCCAGATTCCAGATTTCACAAGCAGAAATCTACCGGATTCCGGAATCTGGTCAGATTTCCTTACTTGGGGCGATAAGATGGCCAAAGCCGCAATGTTGTAAGAACTTACATTCAGTAAAGACCGTATTTGTTATTTATAAGAACGCAGGCGGCAATCAATGTAATGAGCGTAAAAGAGAAAATGTTCCATGAAAACGTAAAAAAGTGGTCTCGGTCCTTTTAGCTAAGTCGCTAAAGAGAAAAAGATCTATAGGTAATCAGTAGGCACGCCACGACTAGCGTTTTGGCTAAATGCGGGCCAAGAAATTGTAACTAAGAAAAATTACGGTAATACGTGTTTTATTGTTTTTTTTTTTTGGTAACTTGAACGTTGAAACATGTTCAAGCGATCAGCGCGTCTTACCCGCAACCTGCTGTTACCGTCTTTCAGTTTCAGTATAGGTATGAGTTAATTATAAACTCCTTAGGCTACTTTTGATAGCTAACTGCTTTATTTCCTTATAGTTTGAGGTTTTTATCATTTTATGTTTGTTTATTAGTGTAGGATTGTTTGAGTGAATGATATGCCGGTAAACGTCCGCCGTAGCCCGCCAGCCCGGTGCGTCCATCTCTCTAATAAGAGCGGGCTCACAACGTACTTGATGTTGAGGTTGCGTAGCTGGCGTTTTTTTTAACGCTGTCAAAGAAACACGGTAAAATGGTGTGGTTTCTACTTTCCTCCTCCCCATGCCTTTGTCTCTCTTTTTTCTTTTATCCTCTTTCATTTTTCTCGCTTTTTTCTTACGAATCCTTTACCGCACTCCAAAGAAACCGCCAGCTGCGCTCAACAGCTGCACAGGCTATCTTCTAGCCAAGAAACTCTCAGGCAATTTTCAGGGATTTTCAAAATTGAAATTTTACATTTTCTTTCTATCAATAGCTTATTTCCATGGACAAACTTTTACAGTCGACAACCATCGCAAAGACGTTGCTTCTCTTCTACCTGCCACTTTCGTGACGGCTTCTATGAAGGCCTTAAACCCGGGGACGTGGATGTTAAACTGCCTTGTTAACGATCATTATAACGCCGGTATGTACGCGCTGTTTAATGTAACGAAGTGCGATGGAAAAAAACATCCAGTCCCAAGTGTAAGTGGCGGGAAAAAGCGGACTTACTACATCGCGGCAAACGAGATACCTTGGAACTATGGACCAACTGGTATGAATAATATGAATGGAGAGAACTTGACACTGGCAGATAGGTACGAACGTCATGATCAGATTTCAATGATATTAAGCTCCAGTTCTAACGCTGCGTCACTCATGTTTTGTAGTCGGACTTAAGATTAACCTGACTAATTCAAACGGCGTCAAACCAAAACAGAAAAAGATTTTAATGACGATGATGATAATAGAGTAATAGAAATGAAAATGATAACGATAATGACAATGATAGTAATAATTTAAATTCTCTTCATTTGTTCATTAGTTTCGGCACATGAAAATATCCGTTGTGCGAATCAGCAGTCGCCCCAGTGTTGGATAATGCGACAGTGTCTGCCCAACTTAACGTTGCGTGCCGCACCAAACTTAACTACTGAACCAAACTGATTCAAACGCCGGTTTTCCGTATCTAATTCATCTGTAAATGAAGGTGCAGCTGCTTTTTTCTGGAATCAGAGCTGAGGGTTTGGCCATGCTGTCTGATCTTATCTGTTCACTTGTGTGTGTTTTTTCCTATTTGCTCAGCGACTCAGCCGTTTTCTTCGCCCGAGGTAACCAGAGGATTGGAGGAACTTATCTGAAAGCGATTTACGAAGAGTACACAAGCAGCAGCTTTACAAGTAAAAAGAACAAACCGGCTCATCTTGGTTTCCTGGGGCCCGTCATTCGAGCGGAAGTCGGTGATATCATCGAAGTAGTCTTCAAAAATAACGTAAGAAAATAGTGATTTAGCCATTTGATTCTGGATCCAAGAAAAGGGCAATAATTTCTTCAAAGTATGTTCCTTGGCTAGTAACGGGCGATGAAGTTAACCTGTGAGAGTGAAGAATGATCATCGCAGTAATTTTTCCAATTTAAGCAATTGGAAAGAAGAAGCCTGAAAAAAATCAGGGCTTTAACGGGATTCGAACCCGTGACCTCCGCGTTACCGGTGCGTTGCTCTACCAACTGAGCTATGAAGCCACACATTGGGAGCGAGGTCAATTTATTGAATTATTTCATATACTTCACATCAGTTCACTCCTCACGGGAGATATGAACTCAAAGCTGTTGTTTTGTCTACCAAATCTATTGTTATTTTTGACGTTCTCGTTGCTGTCGCGTCATCGGATCGAATAGGGACTTTAAGATCCAACGACGCGGACGGCAACGAAAACGTCAAAAAAACAAACAAACAAACAATAGGGTTTATAAGCAAAACAACAAGTTTGCACGTGCATCGCACTTATTTGTACATTTCTTTTCCCGTTTTTGCACGACTACGACGTGAAAATGGCTAATTTCGCGTTTTATGGAGAACGTAGACAAGCAAAGACGAAATTTAATTTCTCTTTCTGAACTTGGATATGGTCCCTAGGAATTTAACTACAGGAGGGTTCGCCAACATTTGACACAGTAAGTGGGTAGGAATAATTGCGATGAAGACTGAAAGAACGCAAAGTCACTTTTTAAGGGACGTTCTCGTTGCCGTCGCGCCGTTGGAGCTTAAAGTCCCTATTACCTATCAAACGAAATGGTTTAAAGGGAGAAATAAAGGATACAAACGAGAGGAGTTTTTGAAATGATTGCCAAACAATCATTAAACATGTATTTAATTCATTTGTATTTTCTTTATAGGTTATTAATGAGTTTGAGATAAATTACTTAAGATTCGGAGTTTCTTCATTTTTCATGCAGGCAAATCACAACTACAGTATTCAACCACATGGCGTCTTCTTCAACAAGTCTAATGAGGGAGCCTTATACCAAGATCATACATCCGGGGCTGAAAAAGCCGATGATATTGTGCAACCAGGCCATATTTACACTTACCGGTGGACTGTACCCGAGCATGTGGGGCCAACAAATGCTGACGCACAATGTGTCACGTGGTTATACTATTCAAGCGTAGATCCAGTTAAGGATACTTATTCTGGTGAGTTTCGAGTATTAAGCTATTCCCTCTGAGAGAATAAACAGTCAGTTGCAGAGAGTAACTCGCATACGAAGCGCTATTTTCCCGCGCTTGCATGCGGCTGCATGTTTTCCCGCCGTATGGGAGTAGTAGGGAGCTTTAGCATCTACAACGCCCACTAGTTATTCAGTTGAAGTACTTTCCCGTGTTACCCTCGTTAAATAAAGTAGACTATTATTATTATTATTATTATTATTATTATTATTGTTATTAAAACAGCGAAATCGTCACAAAAAGTAAATTCGCGCTGCTTCAAACTTATTCGCTTTTATTCTATCTCGTTCAATTTGTTAAATAATGGGGGAAGTTAATTTCTGGAGTTGAATTCTAAAAGACTGTATCTAAATTCATTAAATCGTTTTCTCGTGTTCATGTCCTTCATAAATCGTGAAATTAGGTACTTTAACGTCGTAATCGTGCAACAACAGCAGAGTAAGCCACGAAAAGGCCTGATGTACTTGCAGAGTTGTTGTTTTGCTTATCTAAACCTACTGCTTTTTTGCCGTTGGCTCGTTGCCGTGTCTCCTGAGTCTTTGCTAAAGATTCCCCTTAGGCCTAGTAAGCGCAGTTGCCATCGGCTCCCAGGTTTTCCGAAGTGTGTCCAGTTACTTCAATTTTGTTATTCGTTTAGACTTTCGCATAGCCATTCAAACACATATCTAACATAGTTTAGGTTTTTTCTTATGTAGGTCTATTTGGTCCATTGCTAACGTGCAAAAAGGGATCGCTGAACGATGACAACACACAGAAAAACATCGACAAAGAATTTGTTCTACTTTTCACCGTCACAGACGAAAGTGGCTCATGGTATCATGATGAAAACAAGAAAAAAGCGCAAAACTGGCAACAGATAAATGATGGTATGCTAGAAACAATCTAAAAAATCCTCATTTATTCTATATCATGTTTATTGACCTGCTCCCCTCCTTTTTCTAAGGTTATGTTCACTCTGTACCGGATAGCTTTTGCGCTGGCGTGAAAGCCGTACCAGATAGGGCTTCTATTCACATATAAGTATGTGTAATCAAATGGTGACGAGTGAAATTATTCCCTAATTTCACGAGTATACCATTTGATTACCTAATAATATCATGGGTGACGAATTACGTTAGCCATCGAGGATTTTTGACTTGTTTATCCTGCATCGTATCGATCGATCGTGAACTCCACACTCAAACGTTTAGAGCTAAAATTTGGCTTAAGTTTTCAGAATTTTTCGACAACATACCTCTAAGAATCCTTCTTGATGTGCTCTTTCGTGTGTTCAGGTTTTCTAAAGCGTCTTTTTACGCCCTGACATCTTCGTTCATGACACTTTAAAACTTCGTCGCCATCTTGAAACGGAGACGTACGGTAGGTTGCCATGGCAATTTAGTAATTTCACATGTGAAATTACAAATTAACGCTGAAATTTCGCGCCAAAATTAAGGAGTAATTCGTCACCTATGATATTAGAACGGTAATTTTCGGTGCGAGTTTTGTAACTGAGTGAAGCTGCGCCTCGCTAATCTCGAAAGTGGAGCGTCACGTATCGTATAGGTTTTGTGCCACACTTTGGTGCAGTGTGAACACCGCCGGGTATTCGGACCGTAGAGGAAGTGAATAATAGGAACGAGGACTGGCATGAAATCCACAGAGACGGAAGTAAATATTCAGGAGCGAGGACTGGATTTTACTTTACCCTTTCGGCCAACCGCTCAGGCATGATGTTCGATGTGTCTGAACGATTTGTTCCAGTTTTGTGCCGTTGCTGAATGAAATGAATGAAGAGTCGTAGATGAGAGGACAACAAACGTGCCCTCTTACAACAGTAAGCACGGACGTCAGCACACAAATTAAAGGCGCCACTGGGAGCCGCTTTCAGTCCATTTATAAGCTTACTGTACCCACCCAGCCCATGATGTGAATGATGTGAATGTGCTGTTCACACTATATCTGATACATTTTCGTGTCGGCACGAAAAGATATCCGGTAATAGTGTGAACAGAGCGTAAGAGTAAAAGCCCTGGGAACGATGTTGGGCTGTGAGGGCGCCGATTCATGTTTGCTTCCAAACGAGAGCGAGACCTAGACCAGGTGCAGCTTGAGTATACGTTGAAAATTTGGTGAGGCCAAATTACCAGTTTTAATTAGCCCCTAATCGAGTGTAAATTGATCGTCAGTTTTTACTTCACAGTATTAAAGGTAGAATTCTCTTCACTTGCTCTTCGAATGAAGAACTTTTCTGCCGACTCAAAGTAGAACAAAGCTTAGTGCTCTCATTCACTAAGTGCCCTCTTTAGCTCTCGTCTTTTTTCTGTCCCCATTGAATTCACGAAACAAGAAAGAAACTGGGCCGAGTTAACTTTCGCAAAGATTTCTGGGTCTGTTGCTAGGGACAGGGGAAACAATAGCTCAAAAGCTGACCGCTGACCGCTGCAGCCGCGGTCCCAGAAACAATTGGAAAAATAAGACGCGAACTGTACCATTTATACGAGCTTGTCCTATCTAAGACGAGAACAGCTCGTGTAAATGTTTCACGTCTTATTTCTGTTCTTGACTCGTTTTCATGTGAATATTGCCCGTAGCAACGGCAATCCAATGTGGCGCGCCAAAATTAACGCCTGCGTACTATGCGTTCGCGTCTTATGTAAGACGCGAAGGTCATTTATACGAAGTTTTTCTCATCTTAGCTAAGACGCGTCTTATCTAAGAACAGGTGTTAAGGGCTGTTCTAAAATAAGGCGCTTCTTAGCTGAGCCGCGTCTTATTTTAGACGAAATGTGCCGTTTATACGGAAAGTTCGCGTCTTATTTAAGACGCGTGCTATGTAAGACGCGTCTTATTTTTCCTCGTATAAATGGCCCTATTTTGGCTCAATTGTCTTCTCGTTTCTAAAGTGGCGAATTGATTTGTGAACATTTCAGAAGATGAAGATTACCTCGAAAGTAATAAAATGCATGGCGTCAACGGATACTTGTACGCCAACCTACCCGGATTACAGATGTGTCTAGGCGAGAAAATATCCTGGCATGTGATCGGCCTTGGAAATGAAGTGGACATGCACACAGCCTACTTTTACGGAAACACCTTCCTGCATGATGGGAGTGTAAAGGACACACTCAGCTTACTGCCAGGTCAGTATATAGCCGGAGAGCTCCAGCTCCTAGCAACAACAAGAGCCACTTAAGTGTGAAATTTAAGGGAATGCTTTTGGAGTTGAATTCATGGGAAATTCGCACCCAAGTTTAGATAGAGCAAGAATAGTTTGTCGCTGTGTATATGTTGTGGCTCAATTTTATCCTTGGTTTGAATTTTATTTTCCTTGGTTTTGGTGTATGGTGATGTTATGATAACGAGTTTAAAACAAAGGGTAATAAAATTTAAACAAGGATAAAATTGAACCACGACATATACGTCCGTAGCAGAGCGTGCAAAAGGGGGAAATGGAAAATCCGTTACTTTTCGCGTTTTCAAGCGACGTGGCTGTAGCTAATTACATCGCATCTTCTGGTTCAGTGATACATTCATGATCTCAATCCATAGAATTTTCCTGTATCCACAATACTTTGTATTTGCAGTTTATAGAACACGGAACCAGTATTATGAAAGGGTAGGGTCTCGTAAATCTAATGAGGAAGTAGTTTCCTTTGGACGAGGAACCTAAACTTGGTAGAGAGCCATCAGACGAGTACAAATCTCTGTTTAATTATCTTCAATTTTGAGTAAGAACATTCATTGTTTGGTGTCAAAGCATAATGTAGAGTACAGAGAAAGAAATCCTTATAGCTACAAAAATTTTCACTCTATTTTAGGCGTATTTGCCACTCTAACAATGACGCCTGATAACGCGGGAGAATGGGCGCTAGTCTGTCGGACCAATGATCACTACTCTGCTGGCATGCAGGCTAAGTACACCGTCGGAAACTGTGGGAAAGCTCCTACCAAAAAGCCGTCTGGGAAAGTTCGTCGTTACTATATTGCTGCAGTTGAGGTGGAATGGGACTACGCGCCCTCTGGTCAGGATGTGCTGGAAGGAGTGCCGCTGGAAGAGAGCGAGTCAGTATAACATGCAAAGCTTATTTGGGTAGTTTTAAATTGCGAGTCGAGTGTAATTGGCTAAAAATCCCGCGCTATTGTTTTTCGACCAATCAGAAGTGCGACAGGGCCTGTGCGCGTTTTCTTGTGCGTGATGCCAGCTAGGGTCTGGCTCACTAAGTTTCTCGCATTCTAATGACCCTCTTCCATTTGCAATTTCCCAATAACTAGTTATAGCACTGCGAGGGTATCAAAACATGCGGCGGGATACTGCCGCTAAGCGAAGTTTCGTTAGCCTGCAAACGCAGTCGTGTCAGTCCGCGTTCCTTGCGCAAAAGATTTCGTTGCATCATAACTCGACTGTGGGTACTTTCTCTTTCAGTGACGCAAAAACATTCACAGCAGGAGGAGACGAGCGAATAGGTCGAAAATATATAAAAGTTGTGTATCGTGAGTACACAAATGCACAGTTTAAAGAGCAGAAAGAACGGACCGCAGCTGATAAGCACCTGGGTGTACTGGGTCCAATTTTACGCGCTGAAGTTGGAGATACGATGGAGGTAGTGTTCAAGAATATGGCGTCAAGTGGAATGAAATTCTCCATGCACCCGCATGGCTTATATTACAGGTATAAAGCAATGTGCTTTTTGTCTTATTTCTTGGATGAGGTTTTTGTGATATGCGGAATAATCAAGGTCGAGGTAAGTGTTACCAGCCGAGCCAAAGGCCGAGGCTGATAACACTTACCGAGACCTTGATTATTTAGGATATCACAAAAACCGCGCGAATCTAATAATTGTTTTATTATTATTACATTGTTTTGAAGAAAATAATGACAAACACACAGTCGCAAGGAACCTGAATGGATATTGTTATTGGAAATCATGCATTGCGCGCGCAACCTACAGATTAGTAAATTATCTGCCAGCAGATAACTAACTAATCTGCAGGTTGCGCTGATTTCCAAAATTAGCCGTACGCTCTTAGCCAATGAGAAGACAGAAAGTGAGTACAATGTATAATAAACGCTTTTCAACTTCGTCCTATGTAAGGGATTCCAATATCCGAAAAATTTTTGCTTGTGAAATCTGGAATCTTGGGCTTTGGAATCCGGAATCCCACTAACAATTAGGAATCCAGTACCTGGAATCCGGAATCCACGGTGTGGAATCTAGAATCCAAGATGTTGTGTTCTAATTGCTTTACTGAAACAGAACAAGAAGAGCGTAAAAGTTGACTATCCGGCGTCATCGTTACGCCATTAGGGAGCTTAAGAACCACGACGAAGTTCACGACGACGACGTCTGTTGACTGGAACGAGAACGTCAGTTTCGGCGGGAAAAAGGAAACTTAAGATGCAGTCGATCGGTAGGTCGACGACGACACTGAATGTAAACAAACATGTAGAAGTAGTACAACTGTGATGTTCGTTCGCAACAAAGTTTTTTCGCAAAGGCGTCTTTTAAGACGATGCAAGGTCTTATTTTATAAGCCGTACGTCTACTTTCATTGACGATGAAGAATTTTTAGTGTTGTCTGACCTTTTCGAATGGAAAAATCTCTGCTTTCCGTACGAAGGTTATTCAACTTTCAACCTGAATAACATGACCGAGTCCGATTGTCTGTCAGAGTTTAGATTTGGAAAAAGAGACATTCCGATGCGATAGCTGTTTTCCATATAAAGTTCATTCCCTCTATTTTAAAGATATATGATTTGCCTGACCTAAATACGTACAAATAACTTACGAGTTCGCTCGCTCGGCCTGCACAGCTCAGTGTTGTCTTCGAAGTAAACACAATTCATCAGTCAAATTTTCAAGCAACATCGCTTGTTAGGAGAAAAAAGAAAGGATACCTGGATTTACGAGATGAAAAAATACAAATCCCTTGAAAAATCGCTTAAAAACAGGGAGTTATACCTGCCGAAGCTTGTGGACTGCAGGACGACGTGATTCTACTGTGTTTGGCGTCGTCGACGACAGCACGACGACGAAATTTGTTGACCGCGCTTGCGCAGTGCACGATATCTCACTTCCGGTCGTCGTCGACAAAGTCGTCGTCGTGGTTCTTAAGTTCCCTATTATCAAGACTATATCTAATTAAATACATTTGCATAATTTGTTTCTTAGATAGTCTTGATACTGGCGTTTCGATGACGCCAAAATTACGTCGACTTTTTACGCTCTTATATTCTCATTGCGATGTTTATTTCTTGTTATCGTTCGTGTCTTTTATTTCCAGCAAAGGCTTTGAGGGCTCAGACTATAAGGATGGCACACGTGGCAGCGATAAAGTTGATAACAGCGTAGATTCTGGTAAAATGTTTAAGTATTCTTGGGAGGTCCCAGAACGCGCTGGGCCCGGAACAGATGGCCCTGCCTGCTCCACATGGGCCTATTACTCAGATGTTAACCCAATAAAGGACACAAATAGTGGTCTTGTGGGTCCACTTATAGTCTGCAAAAAGGTGAGGAACAATTGATTGGCCGATGTCTTACTCTGATTTAGTTAATTAAACAGAAATTTTCCATTATTGTGTTATATTGATCAGGGACATTTTTGATGGGAACACTTTTGTTTCACGTCTAAAGTAAGATGCATTTCTAAATACCGGATCAAAAAAGGCGTGACCGTCCCGTGGTAGTTCGCTTAATGCATGCCCTGATTTTCAGACAGTCTTGGATGCTCTAATGATGCTAGTTTAATAAAAGGTTGTAATGTAATTTGAGTGAGTAACAGACAAATAAATCCACGCGAAGGATTTCGCTTATTTTATAGCCTTCTACATCTACATTCTAGATGTAGAAGGCTATAAAATAAGCGAAATGCGGAAGGTGCAACATGTAAAGAAGGTTATTATAAGCTGCTGTTTGCTGAAATAATTTTTTCGTATGTCATTTTAATTTATTATTGTATTACAGCAGGCTCGGTAAACCCTTGACTTTTGCGAAAAAGAAACCTTAAATTGAATTGACTTATCTGTAAAACACCATAATAGAGACGTGTTATGGATGTTAAACGGTTGGGATGTTCCTTAGTCCAGTTCTGGCCCCCCTCTCTCTATCACACAACGCCGACGTTGCGTGACAGAGAGAACATAGACTAGATGTTCCCCTCCGGGCTATTACAATTTTTCCTTGGGCGTTGAGCTCCACTCCTCCTTTGCGCTTTCGTTCTTAATTCTATTAGGAAGTTACATGAAAACAAATGAGGGTAAAGGGATTTACCCTCTTGATTTTATGTATGAGCAAGCAGGCTTGCTGACTTATTGTTGTGAGCTATCTCACGCTAATCTTTGTGTTTCCTGTGGTTCCTTGGGTGTTCTGTCCCTATTTAGGCTTTACAATCTAGATTTGTGTTCAGTCAGGATGATTTTTGAAAGTGAAGAATGATCAAATAAATTTTTCAATTTAAGCAATTGGAAAGAAGAAGCCTGAAAAAAAAAGCCCTGATTTTTTTTTCAGGCTTCTTCTTTCCAATTGCTTAAATTTCGATGATCATTCTTCACTTTCATCTACCACCGCAGTTCAGAAATGAATTATTTCATATACTTCACGTCAGGATGATTTTTAGCAAGTATGTCCAGCCTTATCATCATATAAAATCTTTGTTCAAAATTGTAACACCCTTGGTGCGTCATTCTAATTGCGCTAAGTTTGACACATTGTGGCGCGCAAGAAGTTGCAAATTATGTTCGTTTGACTGTAAACTGGCCAATAATGACCCAAATCATGAAACTGCTGTATAAGATGCCAAGGGTCTGTAGTTTAAGCAGTGTGTAAATGACAGTTCATCGTTTCTCAGATGATGTTTTGCTGCCCAGCATCTGCTCAGAGCATTATACTTACAATTTGTAACTTCTTGTTTTACACTTTATCAGGGTACTCTGAAGGATCCATATACACGAAAGGATGTAGATCGTGAATATGCGCTTATGTTTACTGTTCTGGATGAGAATGAGAGCTGGTACCTTGACCAAAACATCGACACTTACTGCAAAAAACCAGGAAATAAAGAGACTCTTAAGGGAAACGAAGACTTCAAGGAAAGCAACAAAATGCACGGCATCAACGGGTTTGTGTTTGGCAACTTGAAAGGACTGGAAATGTATCAGAAGGAAAAAGTAAACTGGTACCTGGTTGGTATTGGAAACGAGGTTGATATGCACACGGTTCACTTTCATGGGCAGACTTTCCTTCATGTAAGTAACATCATAGAATTAATTTACAATTTATAACGGATCATAATAGAAATTAAGACCAGGGATCAGATTAATAACACTTTTACACGTGTAATTTACAAGTGTAGCCATTGTTTTAGAGTCTGAAAACAATAGCTATACTTGTAAGTTACACCTGTAAAAGTTTTCTAAATTGACCCCTGTTTCAGTGCTACTGTTGTTCTAAGCTGGCTCAGCTTCAGCGCGATTCTAGCGCGTGCATAGCACGACTTGTTTTCGGACGTTGAATTTAACTCAGTAAAATAGCTGTTGCGGCTGTTGCGGAAATAAAAAGCGGATTAGTGAAAATTTATTAGTTTATTTTAATGTATTTATAATTTATGAAATGAGTTCGGCACGGCAGTAGCATGACGTTTAAAACAGGCCTAACCTTGCTTTGATTTACAAGGCTGAAAAAATTCGAATTGACATGGAAATCATTCAAATCAGCATGTAGATTTTGTTTTCATCAGTTTCATGCATGTCAGTTCTCATTGAGGCCCAGACCTGCATTTCGATAATCCATAGGCTGAAATGTCGTCTTTGCGACCTGTGAATTAACCAAGAGCGCAGACTTCTGACTGGGAAGGGAGGAGGAGGATAGGGAGAGAAGAGAAGACCTTCTCAGAATCAAGCATACCTTTAACAGTTGTTTTTCTTCGGCAGAAACGTGTTGCATACCATCGTGAAGACGTGTATGATCTTTTCCCGGGAGTCTTTGCAACCGTGGAGATGATTCCTGACAGCGTTGGAGTCTGGATGCTGCACTGTCACGTGAATGATCACATGGTTGGCGGAATGGAGACAACTTATACTGTTAAGGGTAAGTTAAGTTTGTCTCAGTGAACGAACTGCAGCGTACATGTGTCAGGCCAGAACAATTCAGTCCTTTCTAAAACGGCGTTAGCCACGTGTAAATGATACCTGGGTGCTCTCTGGTTTCCAGAACGCACGTTTCCGGGAAAATCATCTGAGGAGAAGCGGTCAAGGAAAGGCTTTTCTCGGAAAGCGCAAAAAAAGAGAAAAAAACGATTAATCTCCATATTGAGCTCTCATTTTATTCCTAGTTATAACCGAAGGTTAGACGGAGTGCGGGCGACAGCGATCCAAGGTCAAAACGCCGTTGCTCCAACGCTGTGCTTTGCCTAAATTTCACGTGACAGATAGTTAAAACACGCATGATCAGATTACGAGTGATGGAAGGTACAAACGCGCGTGGTAAAATAGCGTTCTGTACATTCCTTTCATTCTTAGTGGAAGTCCAAACGAACGCTGGCTACGTACATGCGACGCATGCGTCATAACGTCCTGGCCCGGGTTGCTCGAAGCATGGTCAGTGCTTACCAGCGTTAAATACCATGGAAACCTATACATTTTGATACCTCTTAACCAACGGTTAGCGCTAACCAGGCTTCGAGCAACCGGCCCCTGGACGTTAGGATTGCGGGCTCCTCTTGTCGCCCGCAATAATGTACATAGATATTAATGACAAAACTGTATTAATTAGTAATGATTTGGAGAAACATAAACATAAAAAAACTAACGAAATAAAGTTCCGACGTTTCGGCGAGATCATGACGCCATTATCAAGGAATGGAAATAAATGCGAGTTCAAATGATTTTTGAATACTTTAACGCCATTTGAACTCTTATTTATTTCCATTCCCTAATAATGGCGTCATAGTGTCACCGAAATGTCTGAACTTTATTTCGTTAGGTTGTACATGATAATAAAACTGTGTTAATTCCATGAATTCATAGATGGTTCACTGAAGCCAACCACCGATTTCATTGGTCCATTCAGTACCGCAGGCTCACCTTTGTCCAGCAGTTATATCATCTGCTTGCTGATAGCTGTTATTGTGACTGTATTTTGAATGCTGTTTTGGAGAGGAAAGTAGACAGTAGATTAGCTTTTAATAGCATTCTTTTATAATAGGTAGCTGACCATATGGCCCTTTTAATCAGACTGTGAACTCACGTGACCGACTGAGCGACCGTATGACTAACTCATCAGAGAATGAATATTTGAAAGACTGAACAACTGACAGACCACCGTAAAAACCTCCGTCTCCCGTACGGATTGGTTAATAAGGTATAATAAACCCACTCCTGCTGATAATCGGATCTAAATGTAGTCGAAAAAACGGACCGACCTTCCAACTCCGCGAGGACGACCGTGAGAGACTTTACTCATGATATAACCGCCATCTTTGCAAGCGCGTGAAGGCTATTGGGATGGATGTAAACAATGTCGTGTGGTCATACGCAGAGCCGAGCTGGACAAACAATCTTTCTTTTAAAGATATTAAATTTTCGGACTAGCGAGTGTGCTGTTTTTCTGGCATGTAGTTGCTATCTTTGATTTTATAAGCAGTGGAAGACTGGGCCGGAACCCATTTGACTCGTGCAGCAAAACTCACGCGAATCATTGTAGTGCTTGTACGATCACCATGAAACGACTGCATGGGAGGCTCACTCAGGCTAAGAATCAGCCAATAAAATCTGCCAATACAAGCAACGCCGGTCCGAGTTTGTTTATTCCTCCCATGAATATGGGAAAAATCGACGGTATAAAAGTTTTGTGGTTACGGTCACTTCGTTCCATTTTCAGGTCATTCCATTTTATAGTCAGGTCGTTCCACAGTTTCAGTATAAAACTCGATGAGATAAAGAGCGATTGTTTTTGCTTTTTGGCTTAAAGAACGCGAGGTATCCATATAAGTAATACCTTTATTTCTGCTCCTGGCTTTAAGACTTGTGAAAAATTCTGGCTATATTGTGGAACGATCCTACTCTTAAGTGAAAGATCTGGCTTGGAACGATCTGACCATGGAACGAAAAGACCGGATAACATTTGTTTTCATAATTAGTTATTTTCACCATAACGACTGTACGACGAACCGCCTCGTGCTGGACAGCGAATATCCTACAGACAGACCATGTGACCATTGGATTTTAAGGTGGTCAGTCTACATACAGAAGAGGTTTTTTTGTAGAATATTTATCTAGGAACTAAAAGACGCTTTTTTATGTTGAATGTTTTGGAATCAGACTGTTCTTAGGATGAAGCTGCAGCAACGAAAATAGCTTCCTGAACTCTGTAAAACACGAGTTTTTACTTCGAATACTGAGTTCCTTGATTTTAAGACAGTACAATTTTATTTTGCTCAGAAAAAAAAAAAGAAGCAAAGAGCGCTTTAAGTCTTTTGTTCTTAATGTATAGAAACTTAATGTATTGATAGTGAAAAAAAAAGTAGTAAAAAGGAAAATAAAAATGGAAATTTTAGAGAAACTGTTTCGTATGTGTTGTGTTTCTGTCGACTGCATGGTCAAAGTCTGGGCCTAAATTTCTCTATTGGCCAATCGCTACGTACTTCATTTGAGGTGAATGTGAAGTCTGTGTCTTCTTTCTGTGCGCGATGTTTATGAACCCAGCTTTGGATACTACTTCCGTTGGAGAAATTTAAAACAATTGTTGTTCAAGACTAACTTAGGTAGAGATCTCCTTTTTTTATCGTTTCTTTGCCCTACTTAGTGAAAATGGTTTCAGTGGCAGCTGTTTTAACATTCCGGTTAAAAGTGTTGACGAAACCTTGGCTTTCTCATCAGTTCTTTCGCAAATGTTTATCCACTTCTTACCTACTTAGTACCACAGAACCCAATGGCTCACGTTTCTTTTGTCTTTTCAAAGATCTGCTGCGAAAGATAATTTTGCCCCTAACATGTACTTTTCTCTTTTATGGTAATTTTTTCTTCTTACGAATACACAAAGATTTAAATGAGTCATTTATTTTAAAGTCAGTTTCGTGGATTAAAATTATGTAATCACAAGGAGTGACATGTGCGGCTTTTAACAAAGAGTTCCGAGTTTGTTTTTGGCTGGAGAAAAGGTAACAGACCCTACTTTCGTTATTGCTAGAAATGTTTTGTGTCAGCTTTATTCTCTTTATTTGTTTTGAGCAAGAGTGTTGTTTAAGGAAGGGTCATTACATGCCGCTTTTCCACAAAGACTATTTAATCAGTCAGCATTTGAGTTTGTTTTAAGTGAATCTGATGATTGGTCATGAATAATCCGCCACTGTCAAAATCTGCCCAAAGTCTAAGTACGATTCGGCAGTTTAAGATTGTATTTTCCGCTGATATTGTACATTCTAATACAAGCTAATACAAAAATACGAGCTTGAAATCGGTTTAAGTGGGACACTTAACGTTCCGCAACACACTGGCTGTTTTTCATGAAGACGTTGAACTTTACTAATGCTAGTGAGGGCTTCAATGGAGCTGCCTCTAATTCTACTTCAAGTCTACAACTACTACTAGCCTTCGCTGTGTATAAAACGATTTTATCTCCTGTTACGGCGATAGGCAATGGTCTTCTGGTTGTCACCGTGTTAATTGATCCTCTGCGATCCTTTCGTAGCACATCATCCATGTTTCTGTTAACAATGTCCGCTGCGAATTTCTTAACAGGAACGGTTGTGGCGCCAATTTTTGCATTTTTGGAATACAACACTTTTCTTGGACGGAAAGCTTCGCTTCAAATCGCTAATGTTGGTTCCTCGTTTTCTCTGCTTTCATTCAACGTTTCCTTTGGAATGGTTTTCGCCTTGGCTTTTGACAATTTTATAGCAGTTTTGCGACCAACAAAGTACAAAGCGTGGATGACGAAGCAACGAGCTAAGACCTGCATCGCTGTGATTTCGCTGAATGCACTAACATTTGCAATCCTGCCGCATGTCAATGTACCAATAAATACTGTTCTACAAATTGATCTACACTTTAATTCGACAGTAAACTCAACGCTTCTTGTTGCCTCTTATATTTTACTATACACTGCCTTTCGAAACCACACAAAAAGGTCAAAAGATCTTCGACAAGAAAACAAACAGGCCTCGGGGAAACTCTTGGAACTTCAAAACAAGTTCCGCAGGGTTATATTCATTTTTGTTCTCTTGTCCACTGTGCCGGCGATCCTGTCCACCATTTCTTTCCACATCGAGGCTTACTGCGTCCCCTGCCAGAAATACCAGACCATCGTCATTGTACAGCGAGTTTGTCTTCATTTAATTTTCTTGAAATGTGCCTTGGATCCCTTTGCGTTCGGCTGGAGGCTTTCACGCAATAGGCAAGCCCTCAAGAAGATCGTCTGCTGTCATCTTCGGACTGTGAGACAGATTGGAAATTCTGATCGTGAAAACTTTTAAGCCTAGGGGGTCTTTTTTCAAGAATTTGTTTCCTTCTTATAAGGACTCATAAGGACTCAAGATGTGTGTTGATTAAGATGTTATAATCAGTATGGAATTTCTACGCTCGTTTCTCTGACGTCATTTCGCTTGGAACCAGTGGCAGCGTCGCGAAATGTCGGCTGGTTTCTTAGGCTGGTCAAAAATATTCCTGAAAATGTTATGCAGTATGGAGGAAAATGCAACCATGAATTGACGCGTATCAACAGAAGGTCAATCCCGCAATTCGCTGTATCACTGCTTAAAAATCTCGCTCTTAACACTTTTGGCTTTTTATGATAATGAATCTGTATATATCGCCATTTGAATGTTTAGGTGCAGATCTGGAAGTCTGATCAGTTAACATCACATAACATAAGAGTATTTGAGATGAAAAAGTCTTTTTCAAAGCGTTTGAATCTGCTTGCTGTCAGGAGCGGCCTGCTGGTGTCCATCCTTTCATATAAATTCAAAATAAGTTTTCGTTCTGAACACGAGCCGATTACCCTCCCACTGGTTCGCTTTTAAAACAGTTATTTTCATTATAGTGATTGGCTGTGGACTGGACCTCCTTTTGATCAGAGGTTTAATACTTCAAATCTGCGTGTTATCTCATAGCGAGCCCAGAAACACAACAGCAAATTATAAGGATTTTGGATTCATCGTAAGATAAAAAAAGAGTCATGTCTCTGTGTTGTTTGCTAAAATGACTTTTAAAGGACAGGAAACAGCAAGAGAACAACACAGGGACATGACTCTTATTTTTACCGTATCATCGATCTTACGGTAAATTCCGATAAAATCCTTATGATTTGGCTTTGAGTGGGCTGTTGTGTGTTTGGGTGCCCTGTGGTTATTTCAGCCAATAACAGTTTGTGAATCGACTTCGAGAATACAGCTTCGACACTCGGTCGTTATAAACCTGCTTTATTAATGCTTGTTTCTGAACTAGTATTAATCGTAAAGTGAGAATGGCTGAGATTGAAGTGATATACAACTTGTAAAAATCTGACAGCTGCTTTATATTGAATAAAGTATCATATTTTCTGGCCGAATGACCAGCAAAAATTAAAGTGTAACATGTACGTTGTACATACTGTCAACTTAGAGACACACCATTTGCGAAGAATCTAACTTGGTTGTGGACTGAATTAACAAGACGGAGAGTAGCAGGAGTTAAGGAATGAATTAAATTATGGCGTTCGTAGATGTAAGAACAATCACAGAAGAAACGAAAAGAAGCAGCATCGGATGTCTGATGGACAATCGCATTTGGCCTAAGGAAAAAACAAGAAGAGAATGAATGATAGTGTAAATAACTGACTGAAAAATAGAAACTTGCTGTAATGAAACACAGTGGTAATAGCAAAAAACAAAGAAACAATACAGAAAACGAATAGGAAGAACCAGGTTCTCTAATCAAGAAACATTTTAATAGTGCGATAAATTAAAGAGTTAATTCTTTGATTCAGAATAGAGTTTACTCTTTCAGAACCGTTCACGCACCGAAAGAAATGCCTGCAATGAAAGCTTACTATGTTATTTACTAACCTGCTTTAAAGGAGGCTTTGAATCCTCTGTAAGTAGTAGTGGTGTCACTGTCACTCTTGAAGTGTACCCAGACCATGTTACCCACGCTCTGTATTGTGCCTGGGTTATTAGTGCCACATACAGGTTTGGACAGAATTATCCCATATTCTCCTTTAAGATCGGCGGGGTCGGTAATTGGTTCGTTTGCGTAGGCTTCTCGGACTTCTAGGTAGTCATTCTCGCAGTTTGTAGCTTGCTCCAGTTCGAATGTAGGGTCGAAAGTGATTTGAACCTGGTGTTCTGGAGGAACGATTAAAAACCAACTCCAAGCGAAACTTGCAGGGTAGTTTTTGATGCCAAATTTTGGGGTGCTAAACTCGATGGTCTCATCTTCAGATGCATTTAAGACGCTCTGAGCACCAACTACAAGAGAAGCGATAGATAAAGACCGTAATCCTGAAATTGAGGCCATGTTCACACGAATTAATCCGGATAGTTTTGCAGGACGGTCTTTCGTTCACATGACACCATTGCCAAAATCCGCTCACCGAAACCGCGTCTTTTCGAAACCGCTCTCCAGAGTGGGTTTTCGCCTTGTCTGCGCGAATTAGGGCAAAAATATGAAGTTATGGGTATTGTTTAGTGTTTTATAGAATCCGGGCATTCGTGTGAACAGTGCGTTGAACCCCTCTGGAGAGAGGTTTCAAAAAGATCAGGTTTTGCTGAGCAGATTCACTGGTTTCATGTAGAAAGAAGGCCGATTCATGTAAAAAACAAACAAACAAACAAACAAATGTATTTAGAATTATCCGGATTTGTGTTGACGGGGCCTTAATTAATAACTTTGCTGATCTCACCATGCTCATTACGAGGAACCCACCATGGGTTAGGTTGAGTGCAGTTATTGAGTCTGTTAGCAATTAACAGAACATTTATAACAATTCATCAATTTACGGGATTCCTCGGGAGGTAGTTTTAATTAAAGATAGTTGAATGCCATCTAATCAAGACATCACACCACAAAACGGTCAGCAGGAAGTACGGCTGGACGGGCGAACACCAGGAATCTGGGTCGGGCGTGACATGCACACCAATCGCGAAGTAAATCTGCGGGCCGGGGGTAAATTTACCAGGAAGTTCAACTACCAAAAACAACTTTGTTATCTTGTTTTTGTTGGTAGTTCTATAGATATGAGTGTAACTTCGTCTGTTGCACATTTCCTTCTCAGGACTAGTCAGTGTCAAGTCCTGTTTTTAGGGTGACTACTTTCGCCTTACGCGTTATCTTTCCTGCTTAAAATCTCTTTCTCAGCCTAGTCCCCTAGAATTTACTTGGCGACTCGGTAACTTGTCTAACCGTACCACTTTAATCTGACGCCTGGTTTTAGCGGTTAGCCAGACGTTAGATTTTATGAAATTCCCCAGAAATTCTCGTTTTTGTGTCTCAAGAAATCACGAATCAGTGACATGTTTTCTATCGATTTTTGAAAAATATCTTGGTTTCCAGCTTATTCAGTTGGTTAAGTTAGTGGAGCAATTGTCAGTGGTAATTTAGTTATTACTTACACGTCGAATTAGACTTGACGATGTAGGAGAAGTTGATTCCTTTGTAGTGAACAGAATCATCAGTTCTCACGCGTATAAAGATATTATCTGAATAATCTACGCTCCGAGTGGGTCCTTTCCCTCGTAACTTGTTGCTATATTCTAAACTGGAACGACTGAATCTTCCACACTGATTTTGCTGACCAACAAGGTCGTCGTAGCTTTCTCCAACTATTGCAAAATCACATTCACAATTTCTGCACTCTTCAAATTCAAAGCTAAAAGTGAAAAGTAAGATAACATGAAACTAGCCCGACTGTAGCTACTTCAGGGACAGCGGAACATAGAGCTACATAGGGGCTGGCTGGGCTATAGCCCTACCGTTAATTTCGCTTGTTTACTCCTCCACTTCCTGATCAAGCCACTGCAGCTACGGGTGAAAGATTATTTACAATGGCGCACAGAGTCAAAACCGCGAGCAAAGATGACCCAGCAGAGATTTAACAATGTTGTAGTCTTAAATAGTCTAAATAGGCACAAGGTAAGAACTGACGCTGTGTGGTGTTATTTGAGAACTGGCCTTGATATTAATTATGTTTTAAATCAGTGTACGTTTTTGTGCAGAAAACTGACAGAATGGTGATACAAATTGGACACAATTTTCTAAGTATTGGTAGAAATAAACGCGTTTCCAGTGATTTCAAAAGCTCCATAAATTTCATGTCCCCAGACACCCGCAAGATAACTCGCGCCTTCGGCTCTCAGTTTTTAAATACAGGAATCTCATGTGTATGATGGGAGGGAAATTTGTGTTTGGCTGATAAATTTCTGTCTTCAAATATAACTCCAACTGGTCCCCAGAGCCTCCTGGGGGCCTTAGCACGAGAACAAGGAGGCTCTAGGGACAGAGGATTTGAAAGTCCTAGCTTTTAGGACTTCCGGTCATTTCCGAATCAAAGGTAAGTAGGAGGATTCTCTTTTAAAAGTTTTGAATCACCTAAATTTACAGTCATTGATACTTGGGCAAGAGCAAGTGCCTGCTATTAGAAACGTTGTAAAAAATCAGAAATGACCGGAAGTCCTGAAATCTAGGAATTCAAATCCTGTGTCCCCGGAGTTCCCCAGAGCCTCCTGGTCCTCATACGTAGGCCTCCAGGAGGTTCTGGGACGAGAATGATATAACTCGTGAATTGGCCGGGGGAATTGTAACTCTCTGGGAAATTAGTGACAACCTTCATCTTTTGATTTGACCGTCTGATGATTACTTTAAACGCAACATCGTGGCCCAGATCTCTTGACAGTCTATTTTCATATGGTATTGTTATTGCTGTTGAAATTTAGAGGCTTTTTTTATAAGTGAAGGGCATATAATACAAAGGGGATTACTTTCGGATTTTTATGATTTTTCTATGCTTCATGGCTAGAATGGAAAGTTAAGCTTATCTTACGTGTGATATGTCATTCCGTAGCCGAAGTAAGGTTTAGGAACCTCAATCCTCCAACATTTTGTCTCATTTGCTCCATAATTACCAGACTCTGGATACACGAAATGCCCACTTGTGGTTCCTGTTATGTTTGTAATGCCATTAGGACAAACTATAGCGAAACAATAAGAGAGGTAATTATTTTTTATTACAACTAGGCAGCGTATTGCTTAATAGCTGCTTTTCAGCGTTAACAGAACGACAAAAGTTTGGCAGCTAGTTCCCGGCGATTTTACCCATGGCATGGGCTAATAGCTGTTCCCATGGGGAAGCAACTTTTTGTGTGTGACCGATTTTCCCATGGTGAAATTGCTTCGGGGAAATTCCCAAGGATACTTCAAAAAGAACAAAAGAATTACCCATGACAGTTCCCAAGGTAAGTCCTATTAGTTAATAAACAGTCCCAAAGTGGCTCAACAAATCACGAGAAAGTGAGATGTACCAAACAGTAGAAATCACGTGATGTTTACGTGCTGTGTATGTCATTTGGCGTTAAATCCTACGCGAAGACTGAACTCAAAGTTCGAAAATTCAGCACGATTTCTAGCAAAGCTGTGAATTTTTTCATTTTTTTTAATGCGTTAAATAAATTTAGAAGCACTTTGAAACACTTGCAAATTCCTTTAAATCAGTGTTCAAGAATTCTTTTCTTAATGAGGTCGTTGCAACCAGTTTTTAAATTAGCATACCCGTATTTTGACTTCTTAGCGAGAATTTAAATTAGAATTTGCTTTTCTTCAAGCGCGAATGAAGTCGATTCTTCCTTTTTAGTCTCAAAATTAAGGGCTGAATCGCTCTTGCCAAGCTTTATTAATGTGGTGGTTTTACTAAAAGAGTAAAAATGCTTCAAACCGTTTACGATTTATGTCAGTCTTCAATGTTTACAACAACGTTCCCTGCGAAAGTGAGTTCAAGTTTTTTCTTTTCCTTGGGCAATTTATCGCTGTGTGACCGCAGACACGGATTAAGTGATGAAAACTCAGCGCGAACCCAACCCAAGCTGTTTCCCCTTGGGGAGCCTTGGAGAAGACGTCTAAAAACATCCAGACCGGCCCGTCCTCTCGGGGTGAGAAAACCCGGTAAGCGCTTGCGATCGATTGTTCCGGCGATCACCCTAGGTAGCCCGTCAGTCTCAAATCGTATCAAAACCGGTGACATGATCCAATTTTCTTTTTGTTTGTCAGTTTGGTAAGGCAAAAGTCTCTCTTTGTTTTCAGGAAGCAGTAACGGGCTTTCGTTTGAGCAAAGTCGAGGAAAACGGTGCATTTGCCTTCAAACTGTTACATTGTCAATTTCACCATTTTCAGCTGTCTCTGTTATCCTCTATTCATTTCTTTTGTGTGTTGTTTTATTTTCATTCTGCTTTTTCTTCCTTTTAGTCACGCATGTGTGTTTGTTGGTATACAGGAGTTCCTGCCATCTTAAGGAAAGACATGAACGTTCTTAAAAGCGGTAAGTCTCGCTTGCTTGGAGATTCGATAAGAAATAAGACGCTCTGAAAGCGTTGACTCCACCTTGCTTGGAAATAAGGTACGACATGATTAGTCAATTGATTCTTAAAGAGCCTGTGTCCGGCGCGGGCGTGGAAGTCATAGGGGCCATGTGGGGAAGGAGAAAAAAAGTTACCTAGCCAGGTTACACAGTAACCATAGATTGCCTTTGGTACATGCAATAGAAACGCCACACCGTGGACACCTGGCCGGACATCCTTCTTCTTCTTCTCCTTTTGTTAGCCGTCGACAACAAAAGAATACTAAGTTACTAAACACTTATACGAAAAAAATGCAATAGCCTTTAAATCTAAAGTAAAAATTTCCAATGATGTCTAGGTAATTATACTTCCACAATCAAAGGCAATACGAGGCAAAGAGGCGAGACCTTGCGAATTTGTGACACCAAGGAAACATCAAGGAAGACGTTAGTATGAAAAACAAAAACACATTCAATTATACATACAACAAAGTGAATCTGCCATAAAACATCGATTCCTTAATTCACGGGAATTTAAATTCCCTTGCTTTCGAAGTCTTCGCTTTTGCAGCAACGTGGCTTCCTACACGAAACAGGATTTTTTATCGACGGTCGAGTGATCTTCAGAGTATTTACTCTTAATAAAACCGTTTATCAACATGGCGCGTCATTTAAATCATGGTCGAAAATAAACCGCATACTCATCAAAAGACTTATTTGCACACAATGAAAGTTTACATAGCCTCACCATCAAAGTTTTGCTCATTTAAATTTTTTCTCTTTTTCGACCACAGAGGTATTCACTTATGTTCCAAAGCAATCAACGCTTTTAAGCCATAGAATTCGTTGACCGACCCGTTCCGAAAAACAAATCTAAAATTCCCTTAGTAATTAAGCTTTTCCATGCACGGCTTTCGTCAGGTCGAGTTAGTTATCCCTAGTTTCAACTGTATCCACTAGGAACGCCTCTAAGGGACCATGGCGACCATTTGGCACGGACACACGAAAAAAAAAAAGCGGTTGCATTTTTAGAGTCTTGTTCTGCTAAAGCAAGCTCGACTACTTATAATAAGAATAAAACAAAAAAGACTGTAAACAGTCTGGTGGACTGTGACAAAACTTACTGGAGTCAGCGGTCCCTTTTTCAAAGGTAAGCGCCAAAACTGTGCAAAAGAAAAAAAATCAGTCATACTGTTAGAAGCATTCAAAATGAACTGATCATCGTAAACTAAAATTAGAACCTACTGCAATTAGCAGCTTTTCAAAAACAGTAATAGTAAATTGAATGTTAATGTTCAGCCCTTCTGGCAAGGCGTTTTATTCTGTACTGAACATTTTTTTTGCAAACTAAGTGCTAAATGTGCTAAGTTCCAATTTCAGAGAATTGTTAAGCGAAACACATACTATTCTGTCTGGTCGGACTAAATACAGTTTTAAGGGACGGACCATTAGAAAACTTATGGGGGGCCGAAGTACAAAATATTCGCGCAAGGGAAAATTAAATAAAAAAAAAAATTCATGCACCCCAATTAATCCTAAAAATATTCATGCTACGGCCTGAAAAAAATTCATACAGGGAATTTGATAACGAAAAAAAACTTCCTGCGGCTCGAAAATTCCCCCCCCCCCACAACTTTACTAATGGTCCGTCCCTAAATGCAGAAAAGATCATCACAGTTTAAAAATTCAACCTTGCCATTCACGTTTTTTATCCCGCAATTCAAGAGTATAAAATTCATATACTCATTATTTCATCTTCATCTTCATCAATTTTATGACCAACTCCCATGCAGTTAACTTACCGCTAGCTAGCTAGCTAAACTGATTGGTTAAATAAGCGCTGCACCCGTATCGCAGAACTCGCAGAGGTCAGGGTTTCAATCCCTCTCTCCATCTACACAACCTGATCAGCTCTCCGACTAGATTACAAAAATATCTATAACTTTACTTGACCTAGTCATAACGAATAACAAGAACAGGCTTCTGACCTCTGGAGTTGTTCATGTTCAACTAAGCGATCATTCACTGGTGTATGCTGCACCTCATGATGAGGTCAAGAAAACTCTGTAGCCTGAAACATTTTGATCGTGATTTATTTTCGACTGATTTGCATACTGTTCCCGCCTTTTAATGTTATGGATATCCTTGACGATAACCTAGATGACAAGCTGTTTGTGTTTGAGACACTGTTCACTTAAGGTGCTTGATGATCACGCCGCTAAAGCTGTAATTTCATGTGCGCGGCAATCAGGTCCCTTACATAACAGAAGGATGGCGCAAAGCAATATGCTATAGAAATAGTATAGGCTTTGAAAAAAGTTTACAAAAGACAGAGCTGACTGTAATCATCAGTTATACAAGTCAGAAAACCCATCAAAGGAGTTTCGGGAGGCATACCGGCCTTTCTTGCATTCAAAAAACTCCAAACAAGCAAATCAGGATATCACTCTCAAAGAGAAAAAAAAGTCCTTAATTGCCTTTGTATAAATCAGTTAATGATGAAGTTTCCTCTTACCCGAGCAGCTAATACATAAATCTGAAGGAACAACTCTGTACAACCAAAGGATACAAAATATGTTAATCTCTATCTACAAATGTTTGAACTACGACAGTCATCTTATAAAGACATACTTACTTTGTGTCAGTCTAGAAGAACAAATATTTTATCACTATGTAAACCTGTTACCACTAGTTATGGCCTCAACTCTTTTCGTTACTTTGCAACTAAGACCTGGAACTCCTTACCCAATAATGTAAAATCCAAGCCTACTTTAACTAGTTTTTTAAAACTTTTAAAAGTAATAATCTCCCTTCAACCATAATGTACAATATTTAACATTTTTCGTGTAGCGTAATCAAATGTAAATAGGTTTTTTTTCATGTAAATAGATTTTCCCTTATTTTTTATTTCTGTACTATTTATGTTCCTCGAAGATATTAGCAATTAATTCAGGCCTCACTAAAATTCGAGATAAAATAAAGTTCATGTACGTATGTATGTATACTGCGTAGGTCAGTTGCATATTTTTCAAACTATAATGATCTCTTTGTGATTATTTATTCATTCCGCAGTTCTGAATATTTGAAATTCATATATTTAACATTTCAAGTTTGTTCTGAGTTGAGAGAAATGTAAAGCGAAAGTACACTGCTGTCTGGCTACTAGAGTGATGCAGATTTAAAACCAGTGAGTGTGACTGCTTTGATCTGTGCTAATCTTATGTGAGCCGAAAAGAAAGTTTATTTCGATTGATTCATTCTCTCTGTAGTCAGGGGCACCCAACGAGAATATAATTCAAAACCACTTAAACATAGCATTGTTAAACGTGTTTTGGTATTTAAACGGTGGATATGGGCATATTTTTATCCCCTATAAATTTTTCATCTGTTCGGATTTCGTAGCTGAAAGTCTAGTGATCCGAAAATTATAGGGATCAAAACTTACCTGTTCGAAAATTTCAGCCAGAAAAAAGGCTCCCGAAAATTCTAGGTGATCTTTTTAGGGTAAAAATCCGTTGAAAGGGGGCAATTTTACCATTTTTTAGATGTTCGAAAATCCTAGGAGAGGCAGGCAAGCAAGAAATTTTACAACAAATGTTCCGAAAATTCTAGATCTCAAATCGTCTTCCGAACAGATATTTTTCCGAAAATTGTC